CCTTCCTTCCTTCCTTCCTTCCTTCCTTCCTTCCTTCCTTCCTTCCTTCCTTCCTTCCTTCCTTCCTTCCTTCCTTCCTTCCTTCCTCTATCTCGTTCGCCTCCATCCAGGTGTTTTGGTACGAAGTGTTCCGGCTGCGCGCAGGGCATCTCTCCAAGCGATTTGGTCCGAAGGGCCAGGAGCAAAGTCTTTCATTTGAACTGTTTCACTTGCATGATGTGCAACAAACAACTGTCGACCGGCGAGGAACTTTATATCATTGACGAGAACAAATTTGTCTGCAAAGAAGATTACCTGAGCAACAGCAACCCTGCCAAAGAGAACAGTTTGCACTCAGGTGAGGGATTTTATTGGCTGGGAAAACCTTGTCCGAGCAGATTTTGCTTTGCTTGGTCCAGAGCTAAAGATTGGAGGGATGGGGGATGGAATCAAATGCAAATCTTGGTCGCGAAACATCCTACAGCGAGAAAGAAAGAACTCAGCTTACGTGCCCTGACCTTTGCGAAACCAAGCACTAGTGTAGAAGAACTGACAAGGAGAGTTGATCAAGAAAGAGAAAGGCACAGTTTCAATTTTTCTACAGAGCTAAATAGAACTCCCAGAGTCAAAGGCAGTCTATCTTGGAATTTGTGTTACAGTTGTGTGGACGTCCAGATAGTTGCCTAGAAGCCCAGTGCTAGATTAAATCCAGTAGTGCTTGCCTTTGGTCTTTGATTGCTTCCTTTTATCAGAGATGCAGACTTTCAGTCTGTAAACACAAAGCGTGGTCTTTTCTGATGCAGACAGCTGACTATTTACTTCAATGTTGTTTACACTGACTGGCAGCTCCTGTCTCAGCCCTCCCACCAGGAGACTGTCAAGCATTCAGCCCAGATCTTCACATCCACCGCTAAGTGACAGCCTCTCCCTTCCTCAAATTAACGTCCCATCCAACACTACATCAAACAATGGAACAGCACAGAGGGGTGGGACACCTTTGTATAGAAAGAAGAGCAAAAATAATTAACAAGTAACAGGAGAACAGAGGAAAAGTCAGTGAAAATCATTGAATGAGAAAGGTTTGTTTCAGCCACTGAATCCAATTTCCTGCTCAGAGCTGGAATCCAAACGATTCCATTTTGCAAAAAAACCCTAAAATTTGCACTGGATTATTTAGGGCAGATTCCTGGTCCTGAACCTTTGCCTTGATTATTTTTTGTCCCTTGTGTCTCAAGGTGAGGCCGTTTGGACCTGAACTAGAGTTTTTCATAATATAGTGATTATGATATATGATATAATCATGTAATATATAATTATAGGAGAGCTGTGTTAGTCTGCGGTAGCAAAAAATCAGAAGTCCGGTAGCATCTTTTCCGACTAACAAACTTTATTAAAAGGCAGACACTTTTGTGAGATGCGTTGGCCAGTCGAGTCACTCTACGCATCGGATGAAGTGAACCGCAGATCACAAAAGCCTCTGTCTTTTAATAAAATTTGCCAGTTAGAGAAGGTGCTGCAGGACTCCAGACTTTTTGTCCTAATATAATGTGTAGACGACCTACCATTTTCTCCCTTTCAATCTTACCCATTAAAGATGTCTTCCTCAACAGTCCATCAGGCATTTCCATTTGGCAACACTGGTGCTGATGATCTTCCCAGTAACATGGATGTTCCCAAATAAAGATGGTGCTATTTTGAACGGAAGACCAAAAATCAAGGTCCCGGGCATTTCCAGCTGTTTAAACCTTGCATTGGCTCAAGCGTTCCCTCTTCCTTACAGACTCAGCTCTCTTTTAAATAAGACGAATTCCAGGCTGGCCTGTTCAGAAGCATTTGATGCCGAAGGAGTTTGTATAGAAAGTTAGCCCAACAGGCCATCTGGGTGACTCAGAGCTGCATATCGCTGCGTCCTGCAGAATTCATTGTCAAAAAAGGGTCCAGAGGTGATCACAATGCATTTCCTAGCAAGTGAGACCCATTTAGTATAACAGCTGCTGATCCATGAACCAGATCAGAAGACAATTAGTTCATCATAAATTTGCAAGCTTGGTACAGGAGTAAAATTTGATAGTGCCATCTCACACGGCCTTAGACAATGGGGGGCCCAAGATTTTATTTTATTTTATTTTATTTTATTTTATTTTTATGATCCCACTTCGATTCTAAGTTTGTTCTGTTTGGGGGCACGTGGGATAAACACCCAGAAGTGACCCCTTTTTCGTGCTGACCCCTTTCCACCTCTGGAAAATCTGCCCAACAAATCACGCCTAAATGTAGCCACTGTTTCTCTATCATTCGAGCAGCAGAAAGAGGCATTTGGGTTGGTTCAGGCATTTGAATTTCTTTCCTTTTATTTTTTAAAGCTGTGTCTTCATTTTAAACTCTTTTGCATTGCGGTGGGACGTGTATCTCCTTTTATTCCTGTCCATTAGGCTTCCACCATTTTACATGCTGTCTTTTTCACCAATTGCTGGGATTTTTTAAACATCTTTTTTTGTGTTTTAAGGAAACTGCAGATTTAAAATATCGCATGCTGCCCTGGAAAAACTATTTTTGTGGCGGGGAGCAGGGGAAGGGGGGACAGATGACAATATGAAATGTTGGAATAAATAAATAACTGGGAGTGATCCCACACTAAAGTCATATTTATTACCATCAAGAGAGGAGACCCTCATGAAAGCAGTAAATCCAGATTCTAGGCCAATGTTTCTCAACCTCAGCAACTCTAAGATGTGTGGACTTCAAGTTCCAGAATTCCCCAGCCAGCCATGCTGGCTGGGGAATTCTGGGAGTTGTAGTCCACATATCTTAAAGTTGCTAAGGTTGAGAAACACTGCTCTACAGTTTCCTAAGTTCACAATAACTACAACTGCTATTGTGGTGCATTTATTTTTCACACTTGCATCCTGTTTCTCTTTTTTTCTCCCCCACCCTAAGAGCTCAGGATAGCTTATCTGGAATATCCTATTTTATTCTGACAGTGAACCTATAACATAGATCAAGCAGTGATTTTAAAGCTCAGACAGTGATTTGAACCCTTCTCTCTTTAATCCAGGAGCACATGATTTAGTCTTCCAGGAGCTTCCTTGTTCTTATCCTAGGATCTTGACCGCAAAGCAGTGCTAAAAAGAAAAATAAAAGGTTTAAGACGTGGTATTTCTGTACCAGAGATTTGTTTTAGGGGACTGTAAGAGTTTAAAGACCTTCCACCCCAAATTCCTCTCCTAGGTTCTACAAGCTTTCTTCATTACTCCTGTATAACTTAAGGATAAATTGTGGGTGTGATTTTGTGACAATTACACTGGAGAAGTCAGAAACCCCTGTCAAACTATCAGACATTCCTCATGGGCTGATCAGCAGATCCATATGTTTCCCCCAAATTTAACATGCTTATCGCCTGTAGGAACGGATTCCAGGAGCAATGGGGGAAAAATTATCATCATAACCAAAGCACCAATAAGAACAATTCCCTCCAGCGTGGGGGTCAGGAGCCTGTGCAAGATTGTTAATTATCGTCGAGGGTTATCCTCGTCTGCCCCCTTTTCCGTTTCTTCTTGTTGGGTATTCTTTGCATGACTGTATGGACTTCTGAAGGGTGTTCGTTGCCCAGAGTCGTGTAAATTGAATAACATAAATAAATAACAACAACAGGAATGCAGAACGTCGAGCTGGGCAGTTCTTAGAAAAGAGCTCAGCTCTTTGGCAGACCTTAAAAGTTAGACAGGTATTTGCAAGTTCAATTCTATATGCACCAATTTGGGGAAAAAATGTAACTGAATTGGAGGGAGACGCTTCAGTGATTTCTTCTTTCATTTTCTCTACTCGGCCTTGCCTTTCTTCTTCGCTCCCTTCTCAGTCTAAGTCGTTTCTCTTTCTTCTTTTCGTTCCTGGTTTTTCCCTCCCCCCTTCCTCTCCTTTTCTGTTGGCCATTGACCTTTTCTTTTGCTTTCTTCCAGGCATCACTGTTAGGAAAAAATACTATTTTGTTATTTAGGAAGGGAGAGTGGGGTGGGGTGG